TTTTTTTTTTTTTTTTTTTGTTGATAATTATGCTTAGTTATGTGACATTGTTGATTTTGAGTTTTACCTCTTTTCATGTTCAGACTAAAAGGCTCGAGCTCGGCTCCGCTCATTTAAAGCTCGAAAATCAGGATCGACACAGCTAGTTAAGCCTCAAAAATAAGGATTGTTTTTATGTAATTTTCTACACCCCGTCTCGTTAAAGCTCGAGTTCAGCTTGTTAAGGCACAAGCCTCGGCTCGTTAATATTGGTAAAAGAGATGAACCTGAGCTTTGTTTATTTGGCTTACTTTGTTAATGTCACATTCTTTCCTATTATTTCTTGATGTCAGCAGATTGTAGAAGGGATTAATTTGCTCTGAAAATGAAAAGCTTTGTCAGAATTTCTGGTAAAAGGACTCAACTTTTCTCAAAGCCCCTCTCATTATTATTGAAGTTAACAGTAACATATTTCATGGACTTGTATGCAATTAAAATCATTCAATCTTTCTCTTTGGCCCTGTTGTGTTTTGTATTTTGCAGCACTTTTATGGGCAGACATATTAGTATTATACGCGTTCTTCGTGATGCAAAACTACCTCACAAATGTATGGAAACTTAGCTTCACTCATGCTGCCGCCATTTTGAACGTATGGGGTGGAATCTCTTTGATGCTGCCCGTTTTCTTTCTATTCCTAGTCGATGCCGTTTTAGGCCACTTCATGATGCTCGTAATTTCCAGCCTGGCATACACCGTGGTTCGGTTTTTTTCCACCTCCCGAAATTCATAAATTCGATAGTTCGAAAAGTATTCTCAATACGGGTGTATATTGATCTTGAATTTCTTTTGCTCGTTTTTCGTAGGGAGTCGGGCTTGTTACCATGTCGACCCCTCCCGTACTCGCGAACTCGACCGGTTCGTGTAAAAAATACGAGCCGCGATGCATCGGTCGAGCTCAGAAATCGCTATTCTACACGGGCATGGCACTAGTAGCCGTGGGAATAGCCGGTCACTTAGTCTCGGTTCGCCCTTTTCTCGACGAACAACAAGATAAACCTAAGGGAAGAAATCATTCGTCGAAAATCGAGTGTTTGAAACTACCGGGTTTTACTCTAATCGTCGTTTTGCCTATAGTCGGGGCGATTGCACTCCCGTACATAAAACCGTGGGACCTCCGATTCGGAATCCCGGCCATATGCACGGCTTTGACTACTTTCTTTTTCTTGACCGGTTGGTGCACGTACGACAAGGCCAGTCCTCAGGGGAGCCCGTTGACGAACGTTTGCCGAGTATTCGTGGCCGCTTTTCTGAAAAAATCCAAGCAGGTCCCGGCTGATTCCGATCATCTCTATATAAGAGATGGTGAAAATCTTAAGTCTTTTTCGCGCACTCGCTTTCTCAGGTGTGTGTGTGTGTTTGTTTGTTTTCCATTGTTCTTGAAAATTTGATTATTTTAGGCTAGATTGCATTTTTAGTCCTGATGCTGGTTTAACTGGTTTAACGGCATAAAAATTTTAGTCTCAATCTAACATTTTCGATGCTGTCATTTAATATTTTGTTACAATTCCAATTCATTTGAGACTGAAATTGCAACAAACTCCGAAATTTATATTCTTGGGATGAATTTTTTATTAGCAGTTCAATCCCTGTAATTTACAATTTTGTTGCATTTTCAGTCCCGTAATTTAAAATTTTGTTGCAATTAGTCCTCAAATAACTGAAATTGCAGCACAAACAAAATATTAAATCACATAAAAAGGCATAAAGTTGGAACATTGAGACTAAAATTGCTATGGCTCAAAGCAACAGGACTAAAAATGCATTTTTTTTTTTTGGGCTTTATGCATAATAATTGTACGTTTTTCGACTCAGGTGCTTGGAAAAAGCGGCCGTTGAATCTAAAGACGAGAACCTCAAGAGCCAAGACGAAAACCGATGGAGACTATGCTCGGTTTCCGAGGTTGAGGATGCGAAAATCGCGGTCCGCATGATTCCCATGTGGCTCACATTTATAATGTGCGGCATAGTTTCTTCAACCGGGAACACATATTTTGTCGAGCAAGCCAATCACATGGATCGAAAGCTCGGGTCGTGGAAAGTCCCGGTCCCAATACTACTACTACTTTCCGAGTGGGTCAAGAGCCTTTTCGCCTCGCTCGCCAGTTGTTACCTCAAACGATCCAAAAGCTACGCGCCCTCGATCGGGATAGCAATATCCATGGTTTTCTCGATCCTTTGTTGCATAACGGCCGCAAGAATCGAGAATCGGAGGATAAGGATAATATGGGAACATAATTTGGCGGACAAGCCAGATGACAAGGTCCCGATGAGCGTGTTTTGGATGCTTTTTCAATTCTTTTTACTCGCGGGCTTGAATGCTTTTTTAGATAAAGGTGTGGCTAAGTTTTACGAGGACCAATCGCCTGAGTCCATGAAAAGGTATCTCGAGCTTTTCACGAAGGGGGTCTCGGGACTCGGGTTCATTTTTGCCGTTGTCTCGGTTTATGCGGTGGGGAAGGTTAGCGAAAGACGAGGGGGAAAGAATTGGTTTCAATACACGTTGAATAGGAGCCGTTTGGATAGGTATTATTGGGTGCTTGCCGGGTTGAGTTTCGCGAATTTGGTTGTGTTTGCTTTTGTGGCTTCATTTTATCGGTATAAGGATCGGGAGACGAGCGACGAGTGTGCGGAAATCGAGGGCTCGTCCGGTTTGCCTTCGGATGGGAATGGAGAAGGTGTTTCTTGCTCTTGTTGTGGTTAAGAGCTTGGTGAGTTTGTGTTGTGAGCTGCAAACTTTTTTTTTTTTTCTTTTTTGGGATTTGATTTTTATGTTTGTATGTTGATTTATTTTGAAATTGTGTGATATTTTGGATGATGATATGAGCTTTGTTGTGATTGTAATTGGTATGATAATTTTTGGCATCTGAAAGCTGAGCAGCTCATGATGAAACTCTTGCATTTTTTGTACAGTTAATGAATGAATGAATAAATAAATAATTGTTTTGCTTCACTTCGCTTCGTTCGTTGGGTTTTCTGGTGTCAGTTTTGAAAGGATATATCAATGGTTTTCTGGTGTCAGTTTTGAAAGGATATATCAATGGTGAATCAGACAACAAATCTCATCTCGGCTCGGTTGGTTAAGATTCAAAAATAGAATTTTTTATTTATTTTTTTATAATTTTTTCGTTAAGGCTTAGGCTGGGCTTTTTTTAATATTGCAAAACGACTTAAGCTCGAGCTCGTTTCGGCTCGATAAAAACTCAAGCCCAAATTCAAGCATTGGGAGCTAGAATTTGGCTCGACTCTGACTCATTTACACCTCCAGCTCCATAAATCACTAGTTTATGCTAAATTTGATATATTGGATTCTACACTAATTGATATTTTTATAATAATTAGTTCGATTATCCCAAAATGATAATATAGGATGAAAATAGAATATTTATATCAAATTTCCTTTTATATTTTTCTTAATTAATTCTTTACATCCATATAAAGGAAAATGTGTATAGAATGAAATAATGATAATTTAGCAGGCACATCTGGCCCAATTCTAATGTACTATGGTTCACAGAACCTGACTTATTCATAAAACATATGTTCAGAATTTAATATTTACTGCAAACAATTATTGAATTTTAGCTGGCACAACACATGGGCCAACTTCAATAAGCTCTAAATAGTTAGTTTTCCATACCATATATTTTGACATTTCTGATTGAGTAGTTAATGAAAGGTCCCCTCAAATTCCCAAATAACTCATTTGCCAAGACAATATTCGATAGATCTAAGCGAGCTGAGTCAAACTCAAACTCGAGCTAAAACTTGTAATACTCAAGTTTGCTCTCGAGCGCTTATTGAGTAGAGCTTGTCCCAACACAATTACATTAACAAACCAATAAAAGAGTTCTAGATTTAACTTGTTAACGAGCTTTAACGAGTTGAGTATGCTAAACATTCAGGAAACTACATAAGCTCGTTTCTTTTAACAGCGCTCTATAAATAATTACTAATTGACTTATAAGTAATTTGGTATTTTTGTTATTTGCAATGATCTATCTATTTCTTAATTTCCCCCATGAGGTATTATACATTTTTGTGAGAAGAAATTTTTTTTCAAAATAAGAAAACAACATATATAGGGCAGCACAATTTCCCAAGGTTTTGATCTGGCCAATCAAAATAGTTCATTAGAGGCCACACCATTTATTTTTGCCATTCAAGCTGTCCCATAACCCATTTGAAGATAAAATAATTTGGTGACTACAAAGATTTATTACTCTATAGTCTATATATGACCCTTAATAGGTATAAACCTATAGAAAAGGCACACTCTCATGGAGGCCACCTCCTCTAAGTGAGAGTGAAAGGCAAAGTTCGACCTTATCGGTGACTATTCTGACCGAACTTTTTACTGTTACACACACTCTCATATACAATTATACACAAATGTGAATGTGTGTTGATCCAACGGTAAAAAAACTTGATGAGGGCAGATAGAATCAGATTTATCGAGTCAGATATAAATAAAAGCCTACCTAATTCTCCACACATTATGGCGTACAAAACATATTTGCAAACATAGTTATGTTTTTTATCTAATAGTCACATAATCACACTTTCTTAATAAAAATAAATTTATACTATTAAATATTATATTCGTATTTATGTTGCTTTTTTTTTTTGAAAAAATATATAATTTTATAACTGTTAAACAACCTATCACCGACCAACATGCATGAAGCATGTGGAGAGTATTCAAAGATATGCTTGTTGCTTTATACAATCTTACATTATTCACTATAATCATAGTACACTTCCCCTAATAAATTATTTTCCAATATACATATTCATCAAGACCCCATCAACATCATTATCATTAACAACACAAACCATAAGTTCTATTGCAAATATTTTATTGCCAAATATAGAAAAAAAAAAATCAAAATTCCTTTTTCTCCTCACACCCATTCTTCTTCCTCGACCCGGTCCGCCCATCCGTCCCCGCCATCATCGCGTACTTATCCTTCCTCGTCAGATTCGTGCACTCGAACCCTAGAGTCTCGGCCATCGCCCTCTGTATATAATTTGCAACCTCGATCGGCGATTTCCCTCCTCTAACTGACATCTCAATCGGGACTTGATCGAGAAACGTGATCTCGTACACGGGCCTTGGGTTCATGAACACGAAATACGGGTCGAGAAACTTGTGCCCGCGGGTCGTCGTCCCGTAAAACATCCCCTGCCTCGCCTCGATCGCCACCGGCACAATCCTCTCGCTCAGCTCCGTGAAAAGCGCGCTGAACCTTAGCAGAAATGGCTCCCGGCAAGTGGTCCCCTCAGGGCAAATGACCAAATCGCCCTCCATCAACAGGCGCCGAATTTCGGCCGCATCCTTCTCCCTCTCCCGGGACAAGGCCACCGTCTTGATCGGGGAAACCAGCTCCGAGAACTTGCTTATGCTATAAGTCACGCAGCTGATTTTTCGACCAAGTGCAACTGTAATGAGGATTGGGTCGAGAATCGTGCGGTGGTTACACACGAACAAAACTCCGCCTCGAGATCTGGGCGGCGGAGGAGGGGGGTTGCCTCGGACGGCAACCTTGACTCCGAGGGCCGCGTATGTGTAGCGTACGATGCTTGCGGGCATGGGGATATTGAGGTAGACACGCAGGATGGACAAGATAATGCCAAGTGGCATCCATAGGAAGGTCATGAGAGCAACTAAAGGTGTGGGCCTTTGTACTAAACGGCCCTCGTGGAATATTATAGGGGACAAGAGCTCGTTCCTTGGTAGTGGTGCGGTTTTTGTACGAGCCACCATATATGCCTCCTGCAGTAATATAAAAAAAAAAACATTAATAAAAAAAAATAGTATTTACTCTTTCTAAAATTAATAATGCAAAGTAGGATTGAAAATAAATAAGTACGTAAATAAAATTGATTTTGACTTCTGGATTTTTTTTTTTTTTTTTTTTT